ACGTAACGTTGAGGAGACTAGCATAAATTCTCACTTCATTCTAACGGCACATTCTGCTCTACCCGACAAAGTAAACATAAATAAAAATTCTAAACTACATAATAGCATGAAATTTATGTTCTTAGGTGTTTAACAAAGAAAGCACGTACAAAAGACGTCACAGAAAATGAAATTAAGTAAGGAGAAACACGTGCATAGAAAAAAAACTCCTAGTTGGAATTCTCGCTTCTTTCTCTGCCTGATGTCTTGTTATCTTTTCTAGTTGTAGAAATACAATTCACGTGTAATTATTGGCTTGGTTTTAAATGAAAATAAAATACCAAAGGAACAAACTTTGACTGAAGCTACCCTCCATAGAAGTTAGTCAAAGTGTTACTGAGTTCACAGTACTTAACTAAAACAAACAGAAACGAAGAATGTTTATTGCACTATGACTTCATAATTATCAAAACCTTGGATTTATTGATTATGATAGTGACCAGAAAAGTCTAACACTTACCTACCACAAGGTTGTCATGACCCGTGAAAATGGTGGACAGGATGTTCTGCAAGCCTACTTGATGCGTTCAAGCAAACCATTACTTTTGGGTGCTGGAGCTGAAAAATACAGATATTTACCTCTCATTCCTGATATTCAGCAACAATATCCATCTCTCATATGAACTGGTACGAACACATATGAATTCCACAGTTTTGGAGTCATCAATCAACTACAGTTAAATAAACAACTTGCATATATTCCTTCATGAACTGTTCATCTCAAATTTTAAGCAAAATGTGTGGAGTGTAACAATGAAAGTATCAGCTTCAAGCATTATTTTTAATAATAATAATAAATTTCCAAAAATGAATTATACGAACATATGCCATTTTTACAGGCAATATCTAAATGTTATTTAATTACTGAAGCTGTTAAAGTTTGGAAAGGACCAAATCATCGTGCCATAGAAAGTTTACTGGAGTAAACAGCTGTTTAGATATTAATGGTCACAAATATTGGATATAAGCGATATTTTTAACTAGTATGGGTGAAAATTAATGAGGTTATAATCTCTTAGTATGAGAAGTAGTGAATCACGTAATCTATAAGAGTATACGGCATATCGAATGTAAAGAACAAATGAATCTGGAGATATATCAGTATTTAATAAGTTTGTACTGCCTACAGATAGCAAGCGAAACTGGGAAGAATGGCAGGGGCGAATTCGGACCTGGTATTGTATGGTATCATGCAGAGTGCAGCGGTTGTTCACGTCTATAATGTTGTAAACAGAGTTATGTGAATAATAAGGCCAGGGATACAATTCTATCCAGCTGTTGTCATATTACGGGGGAGAATATAAGAGGTTTCACTATCAAACCATTCAATAAGACTTCAAGGTCAATGTGTCATATGAGGTAACTTTCGGTTAGTTTCGTTTCCAGGTGAGCGGTTGTCAGGAGTGGAAGAACTTGCATGTTTGAATGTAAACGGCATTTATTACCACGAATGGGGAAGCCTTGGAGAATGTATGAGAAAACAGGGGAACGAATGGGGAAGCCTTGGGGAAAAAATGGGGAGAAACCTCATTGGTGTGGACAATGCTGGTGTTTTGTGGTATTTCCCCTTTTGCTCACCATTAATTCTCCCCACTCGTCACGTTTTTCATCATTTTTGTCAATTTGGGTTGCACTTCCATTGAGAGCAATGAATTTAGGACAGGTTGTAGTCTGGGATAAACTGTCTAGCTCCTGGTGATTTTGCATCTCTGGGTGGTAAAAGATGATAATTCTCACGTGTTGAATAGAAGTTCGAAGTGTATCTCTATGCTCGTTGTGCGTTGGTATGATCGGCCAACATAATCTGCATATCCGGTGAGAAGGAGAAACATAGAGGCATGAGAAGTGAATTTAGTTGTCTTAGAATTTGGGTAAGCAATACTGAAGACCAGGCAACATATGTAATTTTCAAATACAAACCCTAGCTTTTTTGTTAATGAGAAGGCAATACTTTCACTTATCCAACTTGTAAATTTCTGCATACTTATTCTGCTAAGATGTTTCATTACATAAACATGCAACACATATCCTCTCGTGACACAGCAGGTGGGGATTGAGATCACCTGCTATAAAGGTACATGCAATTTAAATAGCAACTTATTCATACCTGTAAAAATGGTGTGTCCCCGTATATTTAGGAATAAATATTATTATTATTATGAAGCAGTTAGACGACAATGACATAAGTGAACATAAGTAGGGAAATCAGACATCTAAATAATTATGTGCAGAACATTTCAAATCAAGAAAAGACTGGGAGAGAATAAATTCTCATTTGTTTCATCACTTCACGAGACAAGTTTCAAAGGTATATGTATTGATGAACGAAATAACAGATGTACAGCCTGATATTCAAAAAGTTGGAATACACCAATTGAAAGTGAACTAACGCAATTATCCTTTGTTGCATAGTTAGGTGTCATGAAGTGATAATCGCTTCAAATCAGTCACAACCTTAGAAACCGAGGGAGATGGAGAAGGCATCAACGCTAGGTAACATCAGACAACCATTTAGGCCTATTAAGGATACTGGCAAGAAGAAGACTAAAGTTCTTGAAATCATCACCGGAAACGATACACGCTGATAATCCTTAAGGACAAACGGCTAGAACGTTGCAGCACAGTTCAACTGCCTCACAGTAACGCTTTAGTTGACCAACATTTAGCCAGAACCTGGATGGAACATAGATGTTGGACACCCAACTGGCTTCAAAGTTGAGGAAGCTGTTTCGAATCTCAAAGAAGCGAAGCAGCCGGATATGAAGGTTTTCTGCCCGAAGTTTTTGAGAATTGAGATACGGAATTGCTGATTAGTGTGATAGAGGTACTAAGCAGTGTGTGAGAATCAGAGGTAGCCCCATCACATCAGCCTAATTCACGGAACTTGAGAATGACAAACTAGAGAAAACCCGCAGGTTTAATACGTAGACGAGGGTGAATCAACCATACTTTCGACTTCCAGCAGGTTCTGTAACAAAGGCACACTTACCCATATTTCTTGACCATAATGCGACATTTGATTCTGTCGACTGCGAGGTGTTGTGGCAGTGTCTGACTGTTACAAGAGTACTGAGCAATTATACAATGCTTACCAAACTCACGCAGCCACATCAGATCACATGGGGAGTCGTCATAAGGATTGACGCCAACTAGTGGTGTTTACCAGTAATGTCCACTGTCACCGTTCCTATTTAATTTCGCTATGGACGTACTAGTGGACATAACCTTTTGTACGTCTGACATCGCAGTGATTGGTCTACTCTCCGGGAAGTTTCTAGTTGACCTGAAGTACGCAGACGACATTGTCCGGTCACGTGGAGATGATGACAAAATGCAGGATCTTCTGAAAGCGGTGAGCAGAAATCTGAATACTTTTGGGAGCCACTTCGTACCGATCAAAATATAAGCCGGTTTTTCAGGACTGGCCTGCAACTACTCCCAGTTTAATGATAGGAGGCGAAGTGGTCGAATGAGTCGACCAATTCACTTACTTGGAGAGTTGCAGCAGCCCGAACGGGCTGGTTGCCGACGGAATCTTAGGCCAGATACAGAAAGCCCATTTGGTATTTGCCAACTTGCCTCATCTGCAGTGCCGGCAAGATTTCCGACTACCTATTAAAAAAGAAGTATACTGAGCCGCAATCCGTTCTGTCCTGCTATACAGCTGTGAGACATAGTCATTAAAAGTAGAAGACATGACTGTTAATGACAATAATCACTGTATGTTAAACATAAGTGATACATTATGAGATTTTCAACAGGTAATATTAACAAAAATACACTCCCCGTACAGTATTGTTAAAGAAATAATTATTACATCTAAATAGTATTAATAATAAAGGTATTAAAGACACTAATGTGAACGGGTAGCTGGTGTTACACTAGCCTATGGTCTGGACTTCGGGATGTATACAAAATGGAGTGTAATTATGGTGGTAGTTCAGTCAGCCAGTGAGAAAATCTGGAATTTGATACAGTTATCCTAGGAATAGTATTGTACCGCATTTTTGAGTATTTATATGTCCACCCATGGTAACACATTTTCTTTGTTTCATTCCTAGCTTGAAGTGGTTACAGATTGTCTATCACAGGTGTCTTTGTAGCATTTCTCGCGTGTGGTGGAATCACCGTGTGAACAATGTCGAGGTTAAGCGAAGGGTACTGGGGAAGCCTGCCGATGAGGTTATTAACCTCAGTCGACTGAGGTGGCTTGGACATGTTTTGTCCATACAGAGCCATGGCCTACATCTGCATGTCATTCTAGATGTTGGATTAGGCTGAAGAGAGTTCAGAGTGGCTAGACCAAGATGTGCCACGGTGAAGTCCCATATTGTTGGTCTGAATCGTTTGGCGAGCTGTAGACTACCTGGCTGGGGTCTTTGTGATAATAGGAATCAGTAGTTGAGGATGTTTGATGAGACGGCTGAAAACCGGTTACAATGGCGCATATGTATTCACTCTTTGGCGTCTTCTAAAGCTTGAATGTTTTGATTAACCTTAATTTTTAAATTTCCTCTCCACCCCATACACCTTATTTCTTACTTTGATATCAGTCTTTCCTGTGCACTTGTTCTTTGTATACTGCTTTGATTCTCGGTACTCCAATTTCATCCTACCAGCTGACCAATCCTAAGATGGTTTAAAGTATTCGACTTTTTAAGCTAAGTCAATCAATCTACCTTAAGAACTGATTATGTTAGCCCTAGACAAGTGGTACAGATATCTAGTGTCTGATCAGTTAGTAAGAGGCACTGCTGACTGCTCAAAATGATTTCTAACCACTTATTTTCAATTAGTGGAACTTTTCGGATTCTTTATACATTAAAAAAGCAAACGACCACTCTGCAGATATATATATATATATATATATATATATATATATATATATATATATATATATATATATATATATATATATATAATTCTTATGTAGTTTAGCATATCTTTTAAAAAAATCAGATGATGAGAAGGAATCTATTTACTTACTGAAAAAAAACAAAAATGAATGTTTACACTGACAAAACCACTGCGCCGAACATGCCCCATAAAAATATAAAGGCATGAAATCACAGATACAATTAATACAACAGAAGAAATAGGCAAGTAGAATGCAATTCAACTGAAAAATTCAGTTTTATCTGTTTTACAAACAAGATACAATGTGGAAATTAGTTGTTAATATTGCATGACTAGTTACTGTTTATAAAATAGGAAAGATATGAAAAGATTCATCTATTAGCTTTAAATTTTAAATTGTATAGTAAATATCATAATTCGAACAAATGTTCGAAGAAATAAAACAAGTAACAGCACTTAAAAGGTCAGATAAATTAAAAAGACGAAATCAAAAGAAAAACGAATGAAAAGAGTACATGAAAAGCATAGGAGAAAGAAAAACTTTGAAAATAAACAAGTCACAGACTGTTTGTTTTTGTTCAGTAAATGCAAAGGTTGAATAATCATTGGTACTTAAACATTACAGTGAACCTATGTATCATGAATGTTTAGATCAACTCCACAGTATGAGGGTTAAAAATACTAACCAATTTCCTGATAATGCGAATGATTAAGCCCAAATCTGTAAAACAGTAAAATGAAGTGCATAGAAGCATAAAATTGTGGGGTTTTATAATAGCTAATAATGTACAGTTGTACCACAGTAAGTTCACTTGTTTACTGGGACAATGGATTACTGCAACTAATAGAATTGATAACCATTAATAGCAATATAGAACATGAAATATCACCTAAATTATCCTAACAACTGTTTTAGTTGTCACACAGAGTTTAACCAGGAAACCTACAGTTCCACTCACTCAAATTAAATCAACATTCGTCGACAATTTAATGTACAGTCAGATAAAACAACAAAACAAATTTCAGTTGCCATATTTTTATCTTCATACATAAAAGTAATCCACAGAACACAAAGTAACAATTAAGCAGAAGCCAGTGTTTTGTTGTCAATAAACAAAGAAGAAAACATTTGGAACAGGTTTTTTGCCACAATAGAAATTTATAATCTATTACCATCACGAAAACTTATAATAATTTATCTGAAGCCTTATCAAGTCATAACTTCAAGTCAGTTGTTATAATTTTCTTCTGGTGTAAAAATCTGGACATAAACGGAAATTTTTAGAACACGAAATCATTAGGTAACGATGGTTCAATACACTAAATAAGTTTTGCAGGAAATTATTCTTAAAACAACTATTCAATCTCATACTTGTGTCAAACTTCTATGTGCAAGTATAACTTAGAGATCACGATATCATTAAACTGTAACAAGCTTTTAAACAAGTGAAACTGAACTAAGTGCCACTTGTATAATCGATAAGAATTTGACAAAAAAGTGATTACTACTGAGTAAAAGATTCGCACAATCCATCATATGTAAGCCTGCTCAAAACATTCTAAATAGTTACAGTCCGGATGCGGTACACACAAACAGCTAAACTAAAACAGCTTTCAGTAAAATTATCAGTACATCAGTTAACTGTGAGTCATCAATCGGAGAGGATGACTTCCTACTACTTGATATTAGGTTCAAACTACTCTCATTATATCAGACAGATGATATGATTAGTTACCAAGCTCTTAACGTAGCTTATAACCAGCGCTTAAACATAGTCATAGTGACTGAAATGTAATAAATTAGTTTGAAAATTTTTACTCTTAAAAATGATTGAAGCCGAAATAAAATCAACCCTCTAAATGATGCGAACTGCAAAAGTACTTAATTGAACAACATGTGTAAACTATACAGGAAAATATTAAAATTACTAGGCGGGTAAGTACTGACAGCAAACAAAATATAAATGTATGTGAAATTTCGTACAGTAATTAGATGTTTGAGAAACGAGGTAAACTCTGTCCGACCTAAGTCTATCATAACAGTATTACTAAGATAACTGCAAATACATAATGCAATGTTAATGAGTCTTTTAAGTTATTCATTTGTTGCCTATTTTAACTGCATCTCATTAAAATTTACCAGTCGTAATTGTTATTCTTCGCCCCCTGTTTATTTATCACTTTACAGGATAGCTGGGTTTTTAATGACACCATTTGATTGTCTGAAAAGTGAACCATAAAATACTAGGTTAAGAGTTCGAAACCAAGTCAATAAAGCTGCGTCGCATTTAGTCACTAATCTGTAACTCATGGATTCAAACCCTGCTTTGCAACCAGTTTGGTTCATAGCCTGATATATATATATATATATATATATATATATATACTTGCGTTTTTAAAATGATAACTATCTCATAATATTTTCGTCAGTTTTGCTTTCTAAACAGTATAATTAGCCTTCATATATTACGTTTCCACCAACTCCCTAGTGTGAAAACCTATGATTTATTCACCAGGGTGCACAAGTATGTTATTTCTCTGAAATAGCCTTCAATCCATTTCTATCCTTTTATTTATGCATGCCAGCCTAACGTACAGAGAGAACTATCACATTGTATGAAAACGACGCTACAAATTATCATGATTGTAAATATTTACAGGGTACTTAGCTGATTTTCACAGAAATCTAGATCTCTTCTGTCACTTACAGGATGTACTTTTGTACGGAAATAAATGAAACAAACTGTAGATATATACTATTAAGAAGATACTTAAGTTTCAAAATGAAAAGGATATTACTTTAATGATAACTAACAATTCAACAATATGTGAAATTTTGTGTAACACATGGAGACAGTGGAGGCGTGGTTATACATGCACGCTTGATTATCAACTGTAGTCACGAGTTCACGCCCAAATTTGGTTTAAGTATTTGTTATCTATGACAAAATAGGTGTGGTTTATAGTCAGTTGCTTGAAAATGTACGTGATTAATACTCAGAATTCTGTTATTTATTTATCGCGAATTAAAATTCATCAAAAGCACACAGATATCAATGCAGAAGGATTCTTGATCAAATTCCTGATCATGATCAGGTAACAACACTAAATATCATTGTGTACACGTGGAACAAATTGTTCTACATCGACGAAATTAGGAAAATTTATGAAACATGGTTTTATGGTGGGCTATTACTCAAAGTGAAAAAAGGATATATCATATACATAGTAAAGTGAACGGTTCTTTATCCTCCTTGTTGTAGCCTAAGCTTTGATACTTATCTAACTGTCAATGTCCCAGCATCAAACTTTGTCACATTAGTAGCACTTATATCATAAAGAAATGAAGATGCCGTGGATGATGTTGCTTGATTTGATGATGAGTAGTTTGCAATCAGATGATAAGACTTGAATAGCACCAATCAATTATTATCACTAAGATTATCTTCATTTTTATGCTATCATCCACCTCGAAAAGACGTAACTGCGTGAAACTTGCAGTTGTTTTTGAGCTAGAACAAATCTAAAGTGGTAGTGTCCAACAAATAGTTGGCTCTTATACATTTAAGAAGACTATGTTTTCTGAATTATCCGCTGTTAGTTGACAGACAATAATGAAGTGGTTGTAGACTTTATATAACTATGTAGTTACCACACTAAATTTCTAGGATATTATTATAACTCTATGGTCTTTACCGTTTTTCCTCTACTACTCCACATCTTATCTTGAGGAGAAAAACAAGTGAGCATCTAAAACATAACAGTTACTGATGATATAATTTAAAATATGTTATTGTCACCTAAAATGTCTTAATTTCGATTGGGACTTCATTTATAATTCAGACGTATATTCTGACACTTAAGAATAACTGCATTAATGAATGACGGAACATGCATGAATAACAACTGCAAACATGGGTCACTTATTCTAATATTTTTCTTTTGTTTATCATAAATTTTACTCTCATTCTCATAGAAACACTCTTCACTCTTTAAATAGAGAATAAAAACTACACTATTAAACAATTCAGGTGAAAGACAGTAGCATAGAAAAAAATGTCTTTAATCCTCGAGTAGTTAACTAACAGAAGTAATCATTACGATAGTCGTTCATTCAATTTAAATGTTTTTAGAACTTGTTCTTAAGGTTATGACTAACTGCTGCAAAGTAGTTGGATGGTATACAAAGAAAAGTTGTTTGAAAATAGGCACAATCTAGACACTTACCCTTAGGGTTGTATCCCAACTGCCAGTACATATAGCCGTCCCATCTGGACTGACGCGTAAGGAAGAAATACGATTTTCATGACAGTAAAGGATGCTAATACGTTGACCTTTGAGTACATCCCATATGTTCATGGCATGATCACTGTATCCACCAAAGAGGAGACGACCTAAGAAAAAATAATCAGATAAGTATGAGGACATTCAAAAAGTCGTAGTCACCTACACATTTAACACATTATATCAAGCTAAGAGTAAAGATCGTTAGTCTGAACGGCAGGTTGGGTACTTTTGTCGACAATTTAACGCGTACGTATCATGTATGGGACCAACACTACTACAGGACATTCATATCGTGAAATTTGACAGGATCATAAAAATGGAATTTTGCGCACAATGAAAACCAGGAAACTCAGCCTGGTAAGCAGATTAATATATCAGACGTAAATGTCAAGATGCGAAGTTCTTGGGTGTTGGCAATACGAAAAGACTACAAAAAGTATTGAACTGGAATACGTTGCTAGTAGCAACTAAGAAATCATGTTAAGATTCATATAACGCACAAACACTTATGATATTGTTTTGCTGTCCAAACCTTAGTAGGTGAAACGGATTTTTAAAACCCTCAACCTAGAAGTTAAAAGCTGAGTGTCTAAATCAGTGAATTGTGGTCACTAGAGCATCTGAAAATCATTATTTTGACAGTGTAAGATGGAGTTCCAGACTAATAACTTGAATATCCATTTATATTCTAAACTACATGACCCAAAAAACACCACTACCAAGATAGAAATGCGTGAATTTCGCAGATCACAGTAATACTATGTAGTTAAGTAGTATCAATCAACTTATCAATGTCTAAAAATGCATAAAATTAGTTTATTTGATAAACTTTTTACGGTAAGAGCAATAAACATTTGGGAGGTGAATGACATTAATATTGTTATAAATCTTTCAACCACGCGTCAATTTTATGAACTGAATATTGATTAACAAGTGAGGTTTTTATGAAACAAATTAATTGTCGAAGCAAGAAATGATAGTAAATACCTCATACGAATATACATATACAATCTATGTAGTGAAAGCGAGAAATTTTGAGATAACCAAGAACGGAAAAAACTGAACTTTTATCAAGAAGAGAATACAACTAACTTAAAAATACCACTGAATATATAAAAGCCATTAAGTGGAAATTTAGAAAGGTCGAACTGATAGATGAAAATAGAAAGGTTTAAAAAGGAACAAAGATAATCGAAGACATACTGAGTATCAGTAAGATTGGCCGAACGAATTTTTACATTGCCACTTTTTCAGCCTAAATATATAAGAACACTTACTACGTAGGGAGAATATATCAGATTAAATTTACTACAGATATATTATCAGATGTATAACTTAATACTCAAAAATAAGGGCAGCATGTATCTTTTCCCTTCTTATCTACAAATATATAATAACTGCAACTCAAAGCGTCCCTATTTGCCTACATATAGAAGAAACGAACAGACAAACTCTGGGAGTTCATTCGCTGTTACCAACAAGTGTTTCCAACAGAATCGGCACTAGAATAACTAATCATATATGCTAATTGGTGAATATTGTTTACTTCACATTTTTTGCGCCGGATAAACATGGAAGACTCGCAGCTTTCTGTTCATAAAATTAGTAGGCACAGAGAATCGCAAACAGCAAAATAAAAACTTTAAGATTTAGGAAGAAATACTGAGCACATTTGTTTATTTGTAATCGATTTTCCCCTACATCACATAAGACATTCAATGATCAAACTTGAAAAATTAGTAAGAAATCACAAATTCTCCTATGCGGCTTAGTAAATTGATGAATTGAACTCGATATCATATAGTTGTCGATATTCCATTCGTTAACAGGACAACAAAAGTCGGTAGGTTACAATTAGTCAGGACAATTTTATTTAACTCGAAATTCAACTCCGTTTGAATTTCGATGAAAGTACCTAACATGGTAATTAGCATGAAGAAAAAGTATCAAGATACTTCTCATTTACATGTCCAGGTTTAGATGAAATTGAAACATGATTAACACTTTGGTTGTCTCACTTCACAACGGCACATAGAAATGAAATATGAATAAAAAGATATTTAAAAGAACGTGAAAGAGGAAAAAAAATTATTAAAATGTTCAGATTTTGAGAACGATAAAGAATGAATACACCTACACCACTACAATCCATTCTTAGTCATGTCATTGAGTCTGCAATCACTAATTCCTAATAACTTTAGTTTGCCAACCCAGCCACTGCTCAGATTAACAGCTTCCACTCGTTTTTATCCTGATATTTCCTAAGCCCTGAATGATGGCCAACTAGGTGAAACAAAATACCAATCCTGTTCAGCTGCAGCTATAAGTTGTGATACAGTGAAGAACAAAGGAAGTGTATTGTATCCTAAACCAGCTCCTTTCCAATTTGGTTAGAAATTCCAGCTTTAAAGCACAGAAACAGTAGTTAGTGGGTACAGCTTTAACTTTGGCTGCTGAAGTACACAAGTTGCAGGGTTTTGATCATAGATGTCTTCGCAGCATTTTTCTCGTGTGGTGGAATTACCGTGTGGGCAATGTTGAGGTCAGGCGAAAGGTACTAGGCAAGACACGCAAGTCGATTGACGAGGTTGTGAACTTTAGTCGACTGAGATAACTTAAACATGAGCCTCCCAAGCCGAGCCACCAAATATCTCAACGTGGCATGCTAGGGGGAGTTGGATTAGGAAGGCAAAAAATTTAGATTAGCAAGACCAAGACTTGGTGCCAGTCGATACAGACTCTTACTGTTGACCTCAGCTGTTTGGGAAGATACAGACTGCCTGGTTGGTGTCCCCGAGACGAATGGAATCAGTGGTTGAGGACAGTTGGCGACATGACTGAAAATCTGTCAGAATGGCACAGGTGTGTTCACTCTTTGGCATTTTCTAAAGCTTGAATATTCACACCAACCTCTATCTTAAGATTGTTTATTCTCCGACACCACTTTATCTACTTGGATTTCATCCTTTTATATCCCTCTGTTCTTTGTGCACTTCTGTGAAGTGTGGTAACTTGAGCCGATGCACTCCTGTGTGGAGTTCTACGTCTATTTGGTCTGTCTTTCTGTCCACAGATAAGTTTGAAGACAGTAATTTTAACTTAAAACGTAAACCGACTAGTAGTTCCATAGAATTATATGAAGTGGTTCTGGTTTCATCGAAATGACTTCAGTAAACGGAATACGGCCAAATCTAAACACGCTTTTTCTCGAATTTTCGTGCTCAAAATAACTTCGACAACTCAGCATTCTACATTTCTGAAGCGACAAAAGCAAAGAGGAAGTGACGGGCCTTCGATATTGTAGATGGTGTAACGATAAAATGTCAACATTATCGATATGGAAATTTTAACAATTCCTGGGGTCATGAATGCTATCTCAACATAGTATTTCAATCAGTTGACGAAAGTTTCAGGCAGTCAGGTTAATTCAGTATCAACATGTGATCTGGCATTACTGTATAACGGTTTAATCTCCCACACTTTACATAAGAACATCAAGCGAGAAGGCTCTAAGATGAAAGATATGAAGTAAAGAAGATAGCAGTCAAAAGCGGTAGAAAATCGTAAACAAAACAAAAAAGAGACAATAATGAAATTTGGGATGACTATTAGGCCGAAGATGTTATGTAGATATATTTTCCCCATTGGGTACGATCTTCGGACACATCGCATAGTCTCTGACCACCAGTTTTGTTTGTCAGATCAATCCCAATCGGAAGGTCAACGCCTCTTTACATGGCTCAAGCCAAAAGTCAGACCTCATGAAATAATGGCATGTCTTAGTCTTGGAATCACCTCTAACCTGCTTCCGACCCGGACCTACTTCAATTAACATTGCGCGACAAGGTAAATGGTGGCTAAGCATGAGTAACATGTCAGAAAACCAAACGATATGGCTCGGAATCGATATTATCGAGGCAGATATATTCCCATGTTATCTTTATCTAAATCTTCATGTCGAATTAGATTAGTCTTACTCCTCCTAGCTCTTGCCATTTTTATTGCTTCCCCCTTTAATTTCTTTATTTTTCACCTTGGTGTTTTCACGCTTCATGTGTTGGCATGAGGTGTAGCAACTTGGACCGTTAGGCAGTAAAGTCAGGTCCTATGCTGATATTGTGTTTATCTCTAACACATGTTTCAGTCATCTCAGTTAACGAAACTTCGTAACCTCATCAACTGGCTTTTCTTCTGTGTCCCAAAATCTTTACCTGACTTGACGATGAAGTTTGAGGCAGCTTCTATCGCGTGAATATATACACACCATGGAATATCTGGTGTTATCACAATAAGATACGTTATAACTCTTGAATAAACTCTGTACCATTACCTTTACTAAATTCGAGAATTCATCAAAAAGTCAGTGAATACGATATAGATCTCGCACATAAAATATGCTGATGGGTAATATTTCATTACTTTTAGATGGAGCAGTGTAGAAACTACTGCTAGTGGATAAGCTTAAGGAAAAACATCAAACAGCGAAAACGAACATAAATCCTTAAACCATATGGGACAAGAACCGCACACAACAGTGCACATAACTATATCAGTAGCTGAAATACTCGTTTCAATTACCCTTAAGGTATGGTATTGAGAGTAATCGGTTACACAATGGAAGGGTTTGATACCTTGCTTCCGCATTCTTCTTGGTTTCTTTTACACTCACTACTGTTTCAGCCAACCTAGTGTACCTGTACCAATCTACGACTGCAACCAGGTATCAAACTTCGTAGTTTCAATAAGTGTGGGTTATTACGAGTAAGCATCGGTTGTTAAGCACATCATACAATATAGCATCAGTAAATGTATTCGTTGAAAGGTTAGGTTGTGATTCCTTGAAACACACTATAAGTTATACTCAAAATCTCATTTTATGTAAATTTCTTAATTTAGCCACCGTTCATGATCATAGCTGAACTTCGGTTTCTTCGGCAATTTTACCTTCGTAGAGAGACAAGAGCTTTTTAAAAGCAAGGCCATCATTTGAATACAAATTGATCGGTCAATTAGATGTAGTTAAAATCGTAAAAAGGACGGCGCTTCATAAACTACTGAATATATTAATTGATTCAAACGCTCCAAGATATATGTATCAAGAAATATGTTGTATAAAAACCACAAATAAAAAGTAAAAGCTGGAATCACAGGTAGTGATACATACACAGCTATTTCTTTTTCACAGCAGTTGCCTAACTGGACTTAAATATTTGTCTGGTCTCTGTGACGAAATGCTTGCCGTTTTCATGAAACATAAGACGAATGGGTAGTGGAGACCCATACTAGTTTGACTGGAAGGATGAAATGGCGCAAAAATCTAACAACTGGTACTGGTAGAATGTGTATACAAACTACCAGATATGTAGTAACAACTGGCAAGTTTAAACTTGAAATGTGATGTTATTTAAAGTATTCTTACAATAAAATTTAAAACTAACCAACAGCTGAATTCGATAAAATGCTTGACTAACCACTTAGGGAGAAGTCGACTGCGTTGCATGCGAAAATGACGCTGTCTTTCTTATATACACAAACTTCACGATCAGCACGAAGATCAAACAAGCGGATAGTTGCATCATCTGAGCCTGTAGCAAAGGCATCACCACTGGGAAAAACCTGACACTATTGACATCCGATTCGTGACCTTGAAACACCTGTACACACTGTCCTGTACGCATATCCCAGACGTTGGCACACCTGTCGCAGCCCTGAAAAACTCAGTGGAACACGTAAAGAAACCTACCCCAGAGACGAAAGTCCTCCCGAATTCAGACGGTGACAGTGCGACACTCAACACATCAGCAGAATGCCCATAAAAACTTTGAATTATCTGTGCATATTCCACATCCCATAAAACACAAGTGCTGTCTCCACTTCCAGTTAGCAGCTGGTGATCAGATATGTTGAATAAACAACAAGACAAATATGAGGTATGCGTCGCGACAAGTTTCTTCTTGAGAATAGGATCCTCATCTGAAGTCAGCGGATATACAGTGCATTTGTTGTCCAAACCACTGAAAATGAAAACAAGCTTTTAAACTTTTTGAGATATGAATTCTGAATTTATTTCATAAGGATATAATGTCAGTTACGTGGATGACATGATATTTAACTAACCCGCAAGCAACGAAATTTCCAGAAGGACTGTATGCACAAGACATTACCCAGGTAGTTGGCATAGATATCGAGTATTCCTGTGAAATTCATTACATAGAAAATTAAAAGGTCTCATTACTTTTGATACCGTAAATCCATCCCACACTATAATTCTCCCATCCTGGAAACTGGTGAATGTGACCAACAAATTACCTGTGACGAGCTTACAATATGCCTTTTATCCAAAGACCATGCAAGACTCAGTACTTTTCCCTGGTGTCCTTTCAAAACTCTCCTAATCCGAATGTTCAATGATGGAACAGTATCTAGGTGTTGACTTGCAGTGACCACTGGCATATAAAAAAATTTTACACAACTAACAGTCTTCATCGGAAAGCTTATTACGCTCATCTTCAAGCTTTCGCTTCAACGAATCTACTTCTTCATTCAGCTGAGCATCGCTTTGGCCTTGCTCAGCTGGTCCACCCGCCATGATATAAGCAGTGCAACTGCATAAATCAAACAAAAAAACGACATAATTAGATGTTTTACTAAAGTCCCACAAACCCAAGCAGCTTTGCATTTTCTAAATACGTTCAATGGGTTCTCAGTTACTCTCAATCGAAATTTCGTTATTCTAAAGGTTGAAGTAAGTCTCACCATGTTCAAGTAAACGGTATGTCTTTGTGGATTTTCCCTGGGGTTCATGCCTCTCCTGTTGCTCACTTTCACACACAGTTCGCCTTTGCGGGTGTTTTCTTAAACTCTCTTCCTCGCCGGTCACCTCAAGCTATGGAGGGAAATCAGGGACAAAAGTGATAGGCTCAGTTGGCAGGATGGTTTGACTGGACGTGAACACTGGGCAGATTACAACGGACTAACTTTCAGTTGTGAAAAATGTGTGTCGATTCGTTGACGGTATGATGAGTGTCAAACATACAAACTAAGAGGCACAGAGTTGAAACCATCGTTGGCAGAAAACTATCTTGGTGTCTTCTTTTCTCGTAATCTTAATCTTACATTAACTGTAACAAGAATGCATCCCGTGAAATCTGTCACTTGTGACCTCACAGCAAGCCTTCGGACGAATCAGTGGCGGATATTTTCAACATATTTTTGTCAGTTTTAAGCGGAATTACCGGGAATATAAGGCCTTTATATCCTTCGCTCCTTCGCTTTAAAAGAGATAACAGCAATTTAGAGAGGATCCAAGGGTACCTCACCAAATCCCTTCGTGGTGAGGACATTAAAGCTTATCATGGTACCAAAGGTGTCCGCGGGTTATGAAAATAGTAAAAAATATCACTTTACAGCGCTTATCGACTGCTTATGAGTTTATGTCGTTTCCACTCACCATTCTTTTTTCACAATAAAGTGGCGTCAAAGTCTCACAGTATTCGATGTTTGTGTTACCAGTGACCGGGACACTTGACCCGTCTGTACAGTTCCTTGTTTTGTCAGATAAAGGCCCATTTTAACATCGCTTCACATGTCTATAGTATCCATAGCCAGTTAGAACACAATTCATAAGTTTCAAATAAGTTAGTGTCAACGTAACCATGTAATCCATGTGAATATCTAAGTTCAATCATTTCATACTTCTTTCGTTACCTTACACAGCAAGATGGTTGAAAGCCACTGGAATCAGTCGTCGTGGTTCAGAGAAATAAACGAAAGACAGATAGATATTGAGCGTAACTTCCACTCTACGATGCTTGGAACGCTCTCACCGTAGCAGTTATTTGGGTCACACCATATGTCTTCAAACTTGAGCTTGATATCTACTTAAGTCCACATTACGAGCCTACGGGTCTAGAGACTGGTAACCTGATTTCTTTATTTTTTTATTCGTCAATCTTTCGTTTATTTTCTTTATCCGCACTTTCTCAGACGCCGAGAATAGCAAGATGTTGATTCTGGATGCGGAAGCCAGTGCAGTGAAAGCTCCTATTTCGTCAACGGTCATTTGAAACCATTTGCACATCAGCTAAACGTTTGCTCTTTGTAATGCCCATAAAGCAGTGAACAGTGTTGAAGCCTAATCTTTCAGCTAATTTAAGGTTTTCGGCATTAGGAATAGGTCATCTACGGTTTCATCGACAAAGCTAGTCGGGGTGTTCATTCCTAAAGTACTTACTGCACATATGCCTAATACAATACAGCTGAGATTGAAGTGGGAATTGATTTCTTCAAGTTGATCCACGACATCAATCAGTTATGTCAAGTAGCAGAGGAGTTGTGGACAACTTATATGAGAGCAAGAAGAAAATAAAGAAATCAAAAAGTGGCTCACCTGTTAATTTTGCCAAAGCCTAAATTGCTGCAGACATTATCGAACTAGTTGAATATGGTTGGGGAAGTTAACAAGACCTTCCGCAAGGTTTCAGCTCCCTTTCTCCGAGAGTATCAGGCATGTCAAATTAGACCTAAATGCTAAAATACAGACTGAAATAAAGCTAGGGAGTGTCGCAAAGCTAGTGAATGTCTTTAATTAGTCGATCAAGAGAGAACGAACAGGATACCTTCACAATCTCCACCAATCAAGCTTCCTAATAGGACCTTGCGGTGTGCAGTGGCGTTTATGATCTCCCTTGTTCCATATCAGCGCAAGCAGGAAACAAGCCCAAGTGAGCCTTCTTGAGGGTACTATGATAGATTCTCCTGGTACTGGAGCTCCACATAGTTATCCCACATTCGATTCAACACTGGGCCCTGTTCACACGCTCTGCACACTAATTAATCTAACTGGACTATTTTCAGACTCACCTCACTCAACGTTAGCGGCAAACCAAGAACGCTGCAGCGTGTCGGCCGATTTGAAATGCATCTCGCAGAAGTTATCAACGTTGAGGGAAATTTTCTGAAAGAACTTCTCACTTCTCACAAGTTTGCACTGAACATAATTGACGGAGATGTAGCACTGCACACTTGTGTATTTTTGGGAGATTTTAGGGTTTGTTTGCAAAAAGTTGGACGCAGTTTACATGTTTGGATGTTGCACAGAGTTTTTGTGGGTCCCTGTTTTCCCAGTCTTCTTTACTTTCCATCAGCGGTTTCCACAGCGCTAAAAAACCCGATTTGGCCTGCGGGTGGAGTTTTAGGTGTAAATTTTCTTCGAGTCATCTTGGTAGGCAATCTTGTAGCCTTGCACTGACTTCCTTATTCCATTTTTGTGTGATCGTCAAGGATTTCCGACAGCTGGCATACAAGTACTGAAAGAACATGTCTTTCAGTGCGTGCAGTGTGCGCCTAGTGACCAAGTTTCTAGACTGGATTATGTTCTGAGCAAAATTCTTCCCTAGTGCAACTGTTCACTACCCGTCTGACAGTAGTAATGACATCCTGGTTTCTCTCACAAACACATTATCCAACTTACCAACTCCCGAATGAATTTTGATCAGCGCCACAAACATCCGGGCCATGGTTGTTACCAATATTCCTAAAGAAGCTGAACGCCGAGTCAGGTTTAGCCATTATACAAGTGATTTTTAATATAATCCCAGCGTGTTTGGAAAATCAAGACAAGGTTCTTCTCAACGTTCTGCTGCATACACCACCGCTTCTCCGGCGAAATATCTGAATTCTTATCAAACATCAAAATATATACTATCAAATGGTACATATAGTAGCCTCTGCTCAAGCCAGTGGTCAGCTGACCCGCTGTTCAGACTGGCCATTTCAAGCTAGTGGACAGAAATTCATGCGCTGCTTGTCATGTTATCAAAAATAAGTCAGTAATCGGAGTCTCGGTATGCATGTTTGCATACGTTATGGAAAATGCATGATTGTCGTCTGCTGCCTGTTGCAGGAAAATAGGAAAAAGCCGTTCGTGAACAATAAGGGATCGGTACTGTCTGTTTCTTTTCAAAGTTCAGTTTAAAAAGGTGACCTTTTCATGTTTTCACCGAATTGGAGTCTGCCGTATTAGGGTGAAAATCCATGGTCACCTTTCTGTTTACAGCATTTATAGACGTTAAAATATTTGGAACTTCTTTTGTCAACCTCTGGCTATTGTTAATAGGAAAATTGATTTCGACGAGGTTGAGCGTGGTTCAAAAAGTATGGCATGGACAAATACCTGTGGCAAATTCTTTGCGTTTACTCAATGGAACATGAAGATTTCATCATCTTTGCAAGAGCTGAAAACAGTACACCTTCGATCACTCAAAAGTTAATACCCATTGCTAGTGATTGAATTGTGGCACGTGCAGGGTCACACGGAGTTTTAGGATTTGTCCTGGTGCGAACTTGACAGACGCAAAGACCAATCACTAATTATTCGGACTTGTTATATACCCACGAGTACGAGACCAAGGAAGAACACGATAGCTTAGTCTGATGGAATAGTATATTTGGATGGTTGTGCCAAAATACCGATGCGTTCCAACTAACTGGCTAGAGTCGAATACGAGCAGTGCAACGTAACACGACAGCGTGCCAAATGGCGAGGATGCTTTACCGGGTGCCTTCAGCTTAGCGAGTCCAGTTAAACTATCAAGGTCAGTATCAATGTCGAAAGTCATCAAACCCTAGGCTATTGATTCTGGGGCAGTGTGTGACGCTACAGAGTAACCTAGCAACTTGAAGTGGATGAGGGAACTCTGACCGGCTAGGTAACTGGCTACAATCCAGAAATGTCCCATATTGTCGTACAGCGATAATAAGATGGGGCAGATGAAACTATTCAGCCTAACTTTATACGACATTGAAGAGTGATTGTAGGTCTTTATACCTGTTGATGAATCGCAAAAGGCTTCCCACTCGCTCCGCTAGATCCCGATTACTTGATGATTTGCCACACTAGCAGTTATTTTGCAGGATAACTAGCAGAAAAGTTGAGGTTTGATTCCAGCCATAAAGATGAAGCAAAATCTCCTTGTTAATAGGCAGACTGTGGTGCTGAAGGGCACAGTCATGCAGAATACGAATCTGGCAGCGCGAAAAAAACTCTAGAAGTGACAAGCTTGAGTAAGCCTGGAGGAAGTTCGTCATGCAGTTCTTAAAATGTGCACCGGTGGTTCGTGTTGCTTTCAGTAAACCTATTCAAATTCTCTACCTCCGAAGTCAGTCGCCCTCGGGTTAGAAACAATTAACTTGCATCGGCGCTTATAAAAAAGGTGTCAAACGGACCGCTTTCTTTCTTGATCTCTGTTGCTGAGCAGGTGATAGAAAGGATCCGTCATGAATTACCCCATGAGCATTGAAAGACAGTGATCTACAGGCAACTGTCAACGTAGCCCATGCTCAGACATGTTCTTTGAAGGGAAATCTCTGGTCACATGGCAGATCCAAACCTTATCCAACAGAAAGAAAACAGCTTGTCATCTCACTTTTTGAGAACGCGCGACTGAGTCACCATGGCTTGCTGTGTTAGAAGCTATAGACGGTGGGTAAACATAGTTATTAGATGGGACAGGAATTGTCTACGAAAGCGGCAACAGATGGTCTTAGTCCGTAGTTTCTGTGTACACGCTTCGGTGTGCTGAATAACATGCGCAAGTGAT